AACTTAATGGATCCTTCAATCATGATAAGGATAATTATTATTTTTTTTTCTTCCCAAAAAAAATAAAAAATCCAAAACACCCACCTGGCATTTTATCCTTGCCTGTTGCCTTGGTAATCCCCCCCCCCAAAAAAAATCTGCAGGAAACTCACTGATTATCGGTGAACGGCAACTGCATTGTTCACACACACACATGCAGCGCCTCGGCTATGTTAATGTGAGATAATGGCAGGCAGAGAAGGTCTTTTGTTCCCAGCTTTGCTGTTTATTCATAATGCCTGGAGGTCAGCGGGGATCCCTTTAAACAGTCAGAAAAGAAGCTGGGGGTGGGGGGTGAGGGGGGGTGAGAAGAAACAGATTCTACTTCTGGATTGATTTCTCTCTCTCTCTCTCTCTCTCTCTCTCTCTCTCTCTCTCTCACACACACACACACACACACACACACACACACACACACACACACACACACCCAACAAGAAGACAGGGAGAACAGAAGAAAGGAAAGGTTTTTGCACAGGCTAATCAGAATACAAATTGCAGGCATGAATGAAATATTTGATAGACCTGCCTTTCTTGCTGTTGTGTGGGGAGCTGGTTAATTTGCATGCCTGCTGAGTAGCAAAAAAGACTTTCCCTTAAAAAGACAGATTGGCAGAAGCAGAAGGGGAGAGGGAATATATATATATATATATATATACTGTATATATACCTCCATAACTCGGTTTTGGAGGATATATTACTCTTTTTTTTAAAAAAAAATATTCTTCTCTGCAGCTCAGCTATATAAATATGGATAGATGGCTCACGTTTGGGAGCACACAGACAAAAAAAAAATATCCCTCACAATGATTACTACGTATTATTTGCATCTGTGATACGCCTCTCTCTTTCCGTTTGATATTCTTCCCTGGAGTACAGATAGTCCTTGACTTACAATTCTTCGTTTAGTGACTGCTCAAAGTTACATCGGCACTGGAAAAAAGTGACTTACGAATGATTTTCACATTGGTGGCCACTGGTTGCATGAATCAAAGTTTGGGCGCTGGGCGACTGGCAGATATATATTTATGAGGGTGGTCCCAGTCGGCTTCTGGCAAGCCCAGTCAACGGAGGGAAGCCAGATTCACCCTTATTGACTGCATGATCCACTTAACACGGGCAGGCCATAAAATGGGTCAAAATTCACTTAGCAACTGCCCTTGCATAGCTTTGGAATTTGTGGGCTCAACTGAGGTTGTAAGTCAGGGACTAGTTGTAGCTTGCCACAAAACTATGAGGATAGAGTAGAATAAAGAGTAGGGTAGAATTAGAAAGAATAGAATAGAATAGAATAGAATAGAATAGAATAGAATAGAATAGAATAGAATAGAATAGAACAGAATTAGAAAGAATAGAATAGAACAGAATGCAGAATAGAATAAAATAGAATAGAACAGAATTAGAAAGAATAGAATAGAATTAGAAAGAGTAGAACAGAGTAGAGTAGAAGAGAATTAGAAAGAATAGAAGAGAATTAGAAAGAATAGAATAGAATAGAATAGAATAGAATAGAATAGAATAGAATAGAATAGAATAGAAGCTGGAAGGGACCTTGGAGGTCTTCTAGTCCAGCCCCCTGCTCAAGCAGGAGAACCTAGACCATTTCACACAAGTGATTGTCCAGTCTCTTCTTAAAAATCTCCAGTGATGGAGTGCCCACGATTTCTGGTGGCAAGCTGTTCCACTGGTTAATTGTCCTCACTGTCAGAAAGTTTCTCCTATGGTCTATGGCCAAGGGGACTTGCTATCCCTTATTTTCCAGGGGAGGGAGGGGGGAACCTCTTCACAACTACTACTTCCCTCGTCCAATCAACAGCTTGAATTAAGACAGGCGCCCATTTCAGAGAACAGTGAGAACTTCTTGGTGGAACAGCATCTTCTTCCCCAAAGAGAGAGACGGAGTGAACCAAACTCACGCCTGCAGCACCTCTGAAACTGTGTCTACACATGTCTAAGTGCAAAGGAGAATCCAAGCCTGGTTCATGAAGCCAATTGTTGTTGGCAAGACACAACCAAGGGCGGTTGCTTCATTAAAGTTCCGTCTTTGAAGGAGGGACGACCTGCAACTCCACCAAGCCACCCAGCTGACACAATTACGTAAGCAGTCAACTAAGTTATTTTGCTGAATTCTTCCTCAAGATACAGAAAACGGTGCTTTGTGTTAAAATTAGCACCATCCTTCAAAGCTAGCGTACATGGTATCTGCAAGACCGCCTCCTACCAAACACCTCCCTTCGACCAGTCCGCTCCCACAGAGAGGGCCTCCTTAGAGTGCCGTCGGCCAGACAATGCCGGCTGGCGACCCCCAGGGGGAGAGCCTTCTCNCCCCCCGACCTACGTACAGTTGCGGACCTGCGCCTTTTTCGCCGAGCCCTGAAGGCCCATCTATTCCGTGCGGCCGGCCTGGCGTAGTTTGATTATGTTTCAGTGGGGGGTTTTTTACGGGTGTGTTTTTAGAACAGGCCTGTTATTTAATTCGATTTTAGAACAGAAACTATTTATTTATTATCGTGGTTTTTAGTATCGCCTGTTCACCGCCCTGAGTCCCGCAAGGGAGATAGGGCGGTATATAAATTAAATAAATAAATAAATATAAGGCAGGGGTAGGCAACCTTGGCTCTTTTTTGACTCGTGGACTTCATGAAGTCCATGAATCATAAAAGAGCCAAGGTTGCCTACCCCTGGTATAAGGGGACCTAATATAGAAGAAAGACTAGGGGGAGACGTGATAGCAGTGTTGCAATATTTGAGGGGCTGCCACAAAGAAGGAGGAGTCAACCTATTCTCCAAGAGATCAGAAGCCATGGATGGTTAGGTTATCTGAGGGCCATCTTGGAAAGGAGTGTGTTGTTCCAAGAAGACTCCACATCCATTTGCACCACTCAGCTGACCCTGAGGACACAGATAATCCTCCAACTGGCCTCAATGACCCTCTAAAAGGAGGCAAATGACCAGCTGTCTGCAAGGAATATCAGTCCTTCCATTCCCCACCATCCAGTCAGAGCTGAAGAAGCTTCTTGGATGAGAAGCAAAATGTCTTCAAAGAATAACAAGAAAGTCCAGTTGCGTCTTGAAAAAAAGCACTTTTGGGAAACGACGGCGTGTTCTTAGAAAACGACTGCCGTGATGTTCAGGTCATAAGTCATAAGATACCCAGAAGGCAAATGAGATTGCTCCTCTCTACATCTATTTCTAGCTTTGCAACTTCTTTTCTGCATTCGTTGTTTACCTCCGTTGTTGTTGTTTTAAGTTCAAAAACAACAAGATATGTTGGCTATTATTATTACGGTTGGTTGTATAGTCACCAGACGTTTAGGCTGGATTTGGCATTTTTGCCCACCTACCAAGCCCTTCCCCTGGCGTAGGCAGATTTTGTTTAATAATACTAAAGTTATTATTGCAGGTTATAGGCGTGGGCAATCTACGGTTAGCTTCATAGTCTAAGACTGGTGGAAACATAATAATTCAAGTCCTAACCAAAGACCTAAGATATTATCCTTGGTTGGATAGTCAGATATTTACACTGGGTACTCTAGACCAGGGGTCCCCAATCTGAGGGCTGTGTCCAGTACCGGGCCGAGACTCTCGGCCCCGGGCTGCGGGAATGGCTGGTGGGAATGGTCTAGACCGGATTTGAGTGGCGTGATGGCCTAGTGGTGAAGACATTCGCCTCCCACTTGGAAGGTTGAGAGTTCAATCCTAGCTACCAGTGGATATTTCTCTCCTAGGGTGCAAAGAAAAAAATATATCTGTTATTCTATTCTGTTCATATTATAATGAGGCCCGGTGGTTCAGTGGCTTAAGGATGTAGATGATTTCAGCTCCGGTGGTTTGAGCCCTACTCTGTGGGTTGGGGTGAGCTCCCATCACTTGCCTCAGCTGCTGCCCACCACCTTGCAGTTTGAAAGCATGTTCTATGCGAGTAGATAAAATAGATACCACTTCAGTGGGGAGACGAGCTGGCGCTCTGTGTAGGCAGTCAGATTCCGGAATGACGCTGAACCTTCCTGGTTGTGGTGCCTGCTTGTGAGGCAGCTCCGGGAAGGGGGGGGGGGCTTGGTGATACTCCAGGAAGAGCGGCTCATCTTTGGTGCAAAGCCAGCTTGCTCACCTGTGGCACACCTTGGGAAGGGCGCAGGTGTTTTCTCTAACAGGGCTGGGACCCTGGCAAGCGAAACTACTACCTTGCAATAGCATTGTGGTCTCCTGGTTACCGTAACAACGCCATATGCTAATAATAATAATAATAACAACAACAACAACAACTCAGATGCTACCTTAAAGCTCTTAGGTTCTTAGTTAGGACTTGAATGGCGACCTGGCCATCGAAACTGCGTGATTATGCATAAAACGTGTAATAGTGATACCCACTGTCATCGGGGCACTGGGAACTATGTCCAAAAACGTTGCAAAATACATCAAGAAACTGTAGCTTCCTGCAACAACTCCAGCAATGTTACAAAAAACTGTGCTACTCGGAACATCTTATATTTTAAGGAGGTGCCTGGTTGACACCTAGGATGCTGGTAGCAACCCGTGTCAACCATCAGCACCAGCCAACTTGAATGCTCAGTTGACTGAGGTTCATGTCTAATGAATGAAAGATAATAATAATAATAATAATTACTCAGACGCTACCTTAAAGCTCTTAGGTCCTTGGTTAGGACTTGAATTGTTAGGTTTTTACCAGTCCCAGACTGTGAACCCAATTGAAGATTAAATCTATAATAATAATAATAAGTCAGCGACATGAAAACTGTGGCTGCGGGGACTCATTTCTCACTGACACAACAACACAGGGATTTCACTCAAGCATCCGAAAACACAAAAAGCTCGTTCTAGCTCTCTTCCGGGAACGTGTACACCTTATAGCGGCAAATCTAAAAAAAAAAGAACACTTTCTTGACGGAACTGATTTTGCACATGTTGTTTCAGGGGGAACTACGTTGCCCGGGACTCACCTGTGTGAAAGGGAAGGTTTCATGGAGTTCATGGGTGCCTGCATGGGCAACTTCCCCGGAGGGTCGTTTTGCCGGCTTTTCTGGTGGCGCAGCAACAAGAGTCTTCCCAGTTCTTCACACCACGATGAAAGCAGTGCTGGAGGAAGGAAGGGAGAGAAAAAAAAAAGAGAGAGAGAGATAAGAATAAAATATACAGTAGCTTGCGGGACAGGTACCTGAGCAATGGAACTGGTTATATCGAGCAGTCCTAATTTCATCCGTGCAAATTCGTGAAGAGCTTCTGCGTTTGCACCCCCTGGTCCCTCACATAGAAACCGCCGGGCAAAATTCTTCTCTTCCACCAGCAACCACAGGTAGGGAGGGCCGTAAGCACGTTCCCTCCAACTGACCATCAGGAGGGGGCAAAGAAATCAGGGCTCCCCCTCCATTTTTTGAAATAAAGTTGTGTCCTTCTGTATGGTAATCAAAGGAAGGAAGGAAGGAAGGAAGGGAGGGAGGGAGGGAGAGAGGGAGGGAGAAATGAAGGAAGGAAGGAAGGAAGTGAGAAAGAGAGGGAGGGAGGGAGAAAAGGAAGAAAGAAGAAAGGGCGGAGGGAGGGAGAACCCTTAGTTTTTTACCCCAGCGCTGGACTGTCCACTAATCATCCAAGGACAGAGCATATCACCCATACAAAACTAATTACAGTGGCAAATGAACTCTGATGATAAGTCAATACTTACAAACGTAAACAACCAGGCGGGCAAAAAATGCAATGGGAGCAGAAGCCACTTCCGATTTCCTGCAGGCTTCCCCATTGAATTTGCTTGGGGGAAGCCGGCAGGGAGCATCGGAAATCAGGATCACGTGGCTATCGGGGTGCTGCAACGGCCCCAAACTTTGCGAATAAAACTGATCTGAACACCCTGGGTGTTACAATTCCACAAGAGTAAGAGGCTTTAGATTGATTTATTTATTTTTACGCCTGCTTTTTATGCCTTCTCACTGAAAAAAAAGTGACTGAGGACCATTTTTCACACTTAGGGCTCTTGCTGCATCCCACTGGTGACCTGATTTATATTTGGATGCTTGACAACTGATTAACATTTATGACGGTTGGTTGCAGTCTCACGTGAACCTCTTTTGGGACCTTTTGTAACTCTTATACTACATTCTGTTATAAGCAGAGAGTTCAGGTCTGAGCATTTCTCTGTTGGCCAAGGAATCCGAGAAGAACCTTTTGATCAAACAGGGGTCCACTTTCACCCACCCAACCCCGAGAACATGACTAAGTGGCCAGCAACAAAGACTATTCAGCCTCCCTGTTTTCATTCCTTTTTACACAGCTGGGCAGATCACAATCACTACCTAACACTGTAGGGTAGCCACGTGAATTCTGGGGGGGAGGGAGCACCAGGAGGAGAAAAGAGAATGAAGGAAACCTTCTGGCAAATTGGAAACGCAGCCGGTGCACGAACAATTGCCAATGCAGAGCACCTCGTCGCCAGCCAAATGCAATTAGGATGGTGTTAGATGGAAACCGTCCATCTCCACCACTGCAACCTTGATGCAGGGTGCGAGTTGCTCTTTCTACGGGCGCAGCAAATGCCCCCCCCCCGTCAATCAAGGTAAAAAGGCACAAACAGTTGCCCGGTTTTTTAGGATGGATCTGCAAGGAGGTAGAATGAGAAAGCAGAATGAAAAAAGGAAGCGAGCAGAGCAATAGCAACATCAGGTGGGATACAGGTAGAGAAAGACGGCAACAGCAGTAGCAATAGCACTTAAGACTTATATACCGCTTCACGGTGCTTTACAGCCCTCTCTAAATGATTTGCAGAGTCAGCCTATTTGCCCCAACAATCTGGGTCCTCGTTTTACCGACCTCAGAAGGATGGAAGGATGAGTCAACCTTGAGCCTGTCAGGATTGAACTGCTGTCAGTCGGCAGAATCAGCCTGCAATACTGCACTCTAACCACTGCGCCATCAAGTGCGGCAAAGGCTATTTGGTTATCTCAGCAAATGACTCTGGACTGCCCACAATAGTGTGCCTTTCTGAGCAGGTTGGCTGTAGTGATGGTCAACTAGACTTTA